ACCTACGTCGACGAGGTTCCCCCCCCTGGGGCGAACGTAGTCGATGGCATTTGGACCTATAGGGTGAAGTGGCCACTGGGATCTCCTCCGGTCTTCAAGGCGCGTTACGTGGCTAGAGGTTTCAGTCAGCGCGAGGGAGTTGACTTCTTTCAGACATTCGCGCCTACCTCGAAGATGACCACTCTTCGGGTGTTACTACACGGAGTAGCATAGAGAGACTACGAGTTACACTCTCTCGACTTCTCCACTGCTTTCCTTCATGGTAGCCTACACGAGGAGGTCTAGCTGCGTCGTCCCTCTGCCTTCACTGGCACTTTCCCTCCTGGGACCCAGTGGAGGCTGAGGCGACCGGTCTACGGTCTCCGTCAGGCTCCTCGTGAGTGGCACGACACCCTTCGTTCTACCCTCTCTGACCTTGGTTTCCAGCCGTCTTCTGCCGACCCGTCGCTGCTCGTCCGTCGTGTCTCCACACCTTTCTTTGTTCTGGTCTACGTCGACGACCTGGTTTTCGCCACTGCTGACAGGGTTGCCTTGGCAGACGTGAAGTTCGAACTGCAGAAGAGACACACGTGCACTGACCTTGGTGAGCTGCGCCACTACCTTGGCCTGCAGATCACCATGGACAGAGCCGCTCGCACCATTACAGTCTCACAGTCACACATGGTGCAGCAGGTTCTTCAACGATTCGAGCTTCAGCACTCCACAGTACAGCGCACACCTCTTGCTGTTGACCACAGACTTACTGGACCCTTTCCTGACGAGCCATTTGAGTCTAGTGGTCCCTACGCAGAGCTGGTGGGCTGCCTCATGTACCTGATGACTTGTACTCGCCCGGACCTCGCCTTCCCTCTCAGCATCCTTGCTCGTTTTGTTGCACTAGGGAGACACCGTCCTGTTCACTGGACGGCAGCTGTGAGGGTGGCAAAGTACCTAGCGACGACATCAGGCGTGGGGCTAGTTCTTGGAGGGCAGCAGTCTGTCGTACTTACTGGTCACTGTGACTCTTCTTACGCTGACGACGCTGAGACTCACAGGTCTACTCAGGGGTACTGTTTCAGCTTGGGTTCTGGAGCTGTTTCGTGGAGGTCCACGCTCTCCTCTTCGGTCTCGACCTCTACAGCTGAGGCTGCGATCTACGCTAGTGCCATGGCGGCACAGGAGCTGTGTTGGTTGACCTTCTTGCTCACCGACCTTGGTGAGCGGCCGAGCTCTGCACCGACCTTGTTCACTGACAACAAGGCATCGATTCTCCTCTGTCGAGAGCCGCGACTGGAGAGCAGAGTGAAGCACATTAACGTCAGGTACTTTCTTCTGCGTGAGTTGCAGAGACGTGGACATGCTCGCTTCGAGTTTGTGGAGTCCGAGGCCAACACTGCAGACATCTTCACCAAGGCGCTTCCGCCTTGTGACCACCAGAGGTGTTGTGTGCAGTTAGGTCTTGTTGACACAGGTTCTAGTCGTGTGTAGGTTTACTGTTTCCTTTGCTTGTACTCTTGCCATACAACTTTGTTAACTCTTGGACTGGCCTTGTGGCCCTTGTTGCTTGTGCTCAGATTGTGTGGTGACGTTGTGATCCACCCTGAGCTTTGTTTCTTTGTGACTGGTCTTGTGACCATACACTTTTGGTTTTGCTTGACACCCCTCACTTAGGCTATGGGGGTGTGTCAAATGTTGTAGCCTGTAGTGAGTTTGTCTTAGGGGGTACAAATGCTAGGGTTTGCTTAATGTACCCCAACCCTCATCAATAACACAACACTTTCATTCTTGACAGTTCCCATCCGGCTATCAACGAAATTTATATGAACTGCTGGTCGTCCACATCCTCTATTCGATTGCAAAGCTACTCAGCTTCGGTTCTGCTTGTGTTAGATTTTATCTTGCTCCATTCCTGCCCATCAGTGTCCACATCCAAACGAACCACTATGGGCCATGCCATTAGCATCAAATCAAAGGCCAATTTTAACAAATCGTGCTGCACTTGGGCTTCAGTGAAGTACTGGTACAATACATTGTGATAAAAACATTTCATCCTCAGACATGTCTATTGGCAACTTCTCTGAGTAGTAACTTAACTCTACACTCCTTTCGCTGAACTTAGTATCCATATGATAGTTATTTCCTGTCTGCCCTTCGGTTCGCACGATCCCCTTATGCTGAAACAGTGAAGGATTGTGCAGGTAAGCTTTCCGCTTTCCCTCCTTCAAATGCCGATGAATGAGTAGATCCATTGGCGCTATATACCAGTTCTCCTCCACATATGATACTAGAGGGCCTGCTGCAGTTGAGTTGAAAAGGAGGGCTTGGGCACTCCCCATGCTTGAATGGCCATGAATAGGACGCTGGATGGTAGAGAGAGAGCAGGTCCCAATCCGGCTTGTCCTTGAGATCCTTGGAGATAAATCTGTCAATCCCAAGGTCCCACATCGTGACAGGCAGTGTGTCGTCTTGTAGCAGGAGGATGTGACGTGGCTTTGTAGCCATGCATTCCCTCATGACGTGGACGAAATCCAGTGCCAGCTTGGCATGCCACCGCCACTTCTGCCACCCGTCCCTTTCCACATGCTGGCGTGGCACGGTCTGGAGCAGCTGATCTGGATCGTTCAGAAGATCACACGATGCTTGATTGGCTGTGATGACGTGGACAGGAATGCTCAGGTTGGCGGAAGCTTCAGTGATGGAGCGCGTGTGCGGCTCGACGAGGTGATTCAAGGACGTAGAATAACTGATTGCTTCGAGAAGTGGCCTCACATATTCATCTGTAACGTTGGATGCTTGTGCATATGCACGGACGACATGGTCAGGCAAGAATCCGTTTTCCTTCCTGACAGGGACAATTCCTTCTACTAATGCCATATTCTCAGATTTATCGAGGCCTTCTGGAGCCAATTGAGGAGCTCTACACCCGGCACTGTAAACGACGATTCTCACTGCCCCCTCTTTCAAATGCCCTTTCGCTCTCCGCTCGTCCAGCACTTTTAAAGGCTCCACCACACGATCAGCAGATCGTGCTGCTTCGTCCACCGTGCGATCATCATCCGGCGGCTGAGATTCTGAGCTTTGAGGCGACTTCTCGCGTCGAGGGACGCGCGGGGAGGATGGAATGGCGATGCACAAGCCGCCGTCGCGAGCCATATCACTTGGGTGAGTAGTAAAGGTGAAAGTGTTGTCATGGCGATCACGATCTGAACTATGGCCGCCCATTTTGGCTGATGTGGAAACCACAGGGGCTGTATCATGATTCTGCATTTCGGCCTTCGGAAAGAAAGTAACGCCGTTGATAAGTGTGGAGCTGACGCCGCCGTCTCCGCCGCTGCCGCTGCTGCCGGAAACGGCAATGATGGGATGCGAGTTTGAACGTCCGAGAAGGCTTGGCGGAGGCGAGAAGATGCAGACTATCGTTGCAATTCCAACCAGCATCGTGAAGAGAACAACTCTTGCTGCTCTAAGTATCACGAGATCCGATGGCGCCGCCGCTGCTCTCTGGACTAGAAAATGGTTTTTTTTTGGCGTCTGTGATTCGAGATCCGGAAAGAAGTTTCGTGTTTTAGCCTGAGACGCAGAATATGAATTTCTCCACACCCACGAAAGCTTCCCATCATGTCCTCGCCACACAAGACGCATTGTGGTCACTGACAAGAAAGTTGAAAGGAACCTCAGGTTCCTAAAATGAACGCACCACGAGATGCGTGTCACACTCAGTGTGAGATACTCGAGTCGATGCCGACGAACATATGCTTCTTAGCTGCTATCAGTATACTATTATGGCTCGCAGGCCACGGCGGTGAATATCTCTCCTTTTCCATGCCGCGGTCTCGCGTGTGGCACGGGAGGAAAGGTGAAAGTGCTCTGCAGAATGAAGCATTGAAGCGGGAGAAGATGTGTCAAACAGGGGATGTTCAGTATGTTTTCTATCTTAAGATGTAGCGAGAGTGTTACCGGAATCTGAAAATCGGATCTCCAAACTTTTCACTGAGGAAAAACGGTCCGTAATCCCACGCGGGCCTCCGTAACCAGGACCCCGGAATGGGCCGAGGGTTACGGTATCCTCACGCGGGGCACACCAGGAAAACGACGAACCCAGTCTGGGCACTCGGCCGCTCACTCCTGCCACGAAATCGGATTTCCGAACTTTTCACTGACTATTTTCCGTTTTCTGTAGGCCAATCCAGCTACACTTTGGGGACCCTCAACCCGAGTCCAGTTTGCAACCGCCTGCTTCGTCCGAACACGCACTGAAAACAACCCTGACAAGGTAGCACCTCCCTGAGGAATGACGGAAAAGTCATATGTTCACGTACGCGTTTTGGTGAGACTGGATGAAGGGACCGATCATCGCAGCAGTTGGGTTTCGGCTCGGCCCCCCGCACATCAGGTTCGGGTGATCGGTTCAGACACTTGGTTTGGTGAGTTGAGCTTGGTGCTTCGGGATGGGGCTGGCCTGGTTGAGTTGACACTGCAACAGCGTCCTACCCAAGAAAACTGCAACTCGATGGATACGAGAGAAATCTGTAGGACAACAAGACAGCTCGACCAACAAGCAGAGAGGATCCGCCATCGGGCACAGTGGCAAACGAGTTTGTCGTTGTTGTGGCGACACCAGATACCACTGCAACCTGAGCAAACCTGTCGGTTGTCGTGCAGGTTGTCAACATTCCTCGACAAAAATCCCATGTTGAAGGTCCTATGATCACATTTACACCTCTTCTCTACACCAGGCCCACAAGCCACGCGGGGAAGATTTAGATCTGAAAAACGCTATACTGCCTTGTCAAGGTTTACAATTGAGTCGTTTTTTGAACACATGGGAAAATCAAAATATAAATTAGTTCTTTAGTACTTAATATTCAAACTCGCTGTTATAGGGAATCAGATGTGCGAATCCCATGCTTGTTGACATGGAGTGATTTCTTATCACCAACATAAGGGCCCTCTCGGATGTTTGTTAGGTATTGGGTGATCAGATGCTTCCGTTCTTGCTAGATTTCGGGATTGGTTACAAAATGGCTGCGGAACACCTCATAGGGCTTGTAGCGAGTGGGTTGTGCAATAGTGAAGATGGCTCGATTTGGTTCGTATCGTATAACTCATTACGATAAATTTGACCAAATGTGTACGAAGAAATATTGCATGCGCTTATGGGATGCACAACAGATTTTCCTTGCACATTTATTCAAATAGCGGAATAGGAACATTAATTTGATCATAATCGCATGCGCCAACTGATAGGGTGCGCTTACACGTGAGAGTTTATGGTAACGCCTCCTATGACGTTAAGTTTTGAAACTTGTTTATACTTCTTCCTGGTAACATCTACATCGTTTTGATTTTTTCTTTCTATTTTTTTTACACAAAATGTCGGACACTCTCTAGCTCCGCTGCTGACTCCTCTTAGGTCCCTGCTTTCCCCCATCCCCTTCCCTGCTTCCCCCGAACCCCTTCCCTGCTTCCCCCCATCACCTTCCATGCTTTCCCCCATCCCCTTCCCTGCTTCCCCCCATCGCCTTCCTTGCTTCCCACCATCTTCTTCCTTGCTCCCCCCCATCCCTTTCCCTGCTTCCCCCCATCCCTTTCCCTGCTTCCCCCCATCCCCTTCCCTGCTTCCCCCCATCCCCTTCCCTGCTTCCCCCCATCCCTTTCCCTGCTTCCCCCTATCCCCTTCCCTACTTCCCCCCATCCCTTTCTCTGCTTACCCCCATCCCCTTCCCTGCTTCCCCCCATCCTTCCCTGTTTCCCCCCATCCCCTTCCCTGCTTCCCCCCATCCCTTTCCCTGCTTCCCCCCATCCCCTTCCCTGCTTCCCCCCATCCCCTTCCCTGCTTCCCCCCATCCCTTTCCCTGCTTCCCCCTATCCCCTTCCCTACTTCCCCCCATCCCTTTCTCTGCTTACCCCCATCCCCTTCCCTGCTTCCCCCCATCCTTCCCTGTTTCCCCCCATCCCCTTCCCTGCTTCCCCCCATCCCTTTCCCTGCTTCCCCCAATCCCATTCCCTGCTTCCCCCCATCCCCTTCCCTGCTTCCCCCGAACCCCTTCCTTGCTTCCCCCCATCCCCTTCCCTGCTTCCCCCCATCCCCTTCCCTGCTTCCTACCATCCTCTTCCTTGCTTCCCCCCATCCCCTTCTCTGCTTCCTCCCATCCCTTTCCCTGCTTCCCCCCATCCCGTTTCCTGCTTCCCCCCATCCCATTCCCTGCTTCCCCCCATCCCCTTCTCTGCTTCCCCCTATCCCCTTCCCTGCTCCCCCCCATCCCCTTCCCTGCTCCCCCCCATCCCCTTCCCTGCTCTCCCCCATCCCCTTCCCTGCTCCCCCCCATCCCCTTCCCTGCTTCCCCCCATCCCCTTCCCTGCTTCCCCCCTTCCCTTTCTCTGCTTACCCCCATCCCCTTCCCTGCTTCCCCCCATACACTTCCCTGCTTCCCCCCATCCCCTTCCCTGCTTCCCCCCATCCCTTTCCCTGCTTCCCCCAATCCCATTGCCTGCTTCCCCCCATCCCCTTCTCTGCTTCCCCCGAACCCCTTCCCTGCATCTCCCCATCCCCTTTCCTGCTTCCCCCCATCCCCTTCCCTGCTTCCTACCATCCTCTTCCTTGCTTCCCCCCATCCCCTTCTCTGCTTCCTCCCATCCCTTTCCCTGCTTCCCCCCATACCTTTCCCTGCTTCCCCCCATCCCCTTCTCTGCTTACCCCCGTCCCCTTCCCTGCTTCCCCCTATCCCCTTCCCTGCTTCCCCCCATCCCCTTCCCTGCTCCCCCCCATCCCCTTCCTTGCTTCCTCCCATCCCCTTCCCTCCTTCCCCCCATCCCCTTCCCTCCTTCCCCCCAACCCCTTCTCTGCTTACCCCCATCCCCTTCCCTGCTTCCCCCTATCCCCTTACCTGCTCCCCCCCATCCCCTTCCCTGCTTCCCCCCATCCCCTTCCCTGCTCCCCCCCATACCCTTCCCTGCTTCCCACCATCCCCTTCCCTGCTTTCCCCCACACCCTTCTCTGCTTCCCCCCATCCCCTTCCCTGCTTCCCCCCATCCCCTAGTTGGCTCTACTTGGGGGCGGTTCATGCTTGAGGGTTGGCTGCAGGGTTCTTTCCTTGTGGACGGAACATATGGGCAAATGAGGCTGGCATGGAATGATAGGCTAGCGCACCAATTGGCGGAGAGAATGAGATGTGTTGCGACAAAAGTCACGATTTGACTTCTATAAAATGTCCAGCAATATATTGGGCGAAAATCAACATCACCGACAAACATAAGTTCCGAGTGCCGAGGAGGACAAGGACTTCAGACATTCTATGGTGGCGATTGCCATTGCGTTTAGCGATGGCGTTTCCTTTTTGTTTTTCTTCTACTGCCCAAGTTCAGGCAGCTTGCACAACATTAGCGAGCTGTTATACATGTGGGCGAGGATTATCGAGCTTTAGCTTGATGGGTATTATAGGGTTCTATGTGTAGTTGAGATAAGATGGCAATTGGTGGGTGGAGGTGGATGGTGCAAGTTGTTTCTCTGGAATTGTTCGATCACCACACATGGGACCAATCAGTTGGTTTAATGGTTAGGTACACGAAAAAATCGTATCACAATCATTGATGATCACGAATGTGGTGGCAATCAGTAAAGGTATTAGCAGATGCTTCAGCAGAGATGGGATTTTCTCATGCGGCAAAGTTTGCTACATTTGTCATCTGTGTTGATTATAACCAATGCTCATTCATTCCCATTAGGACTGGCTGGCAATCTTGTGACAAATTCCATCGTCAGCTATTGCCACGAACGCTCTAGTGATGGCATGGGTTGCAGCTGTCTTGCAAGTATATTTCGTGATGTCTTCATGACCTGGCAAGTGGGACACCCACATGCTGTTGTACGTCAGTCAAACAACTTCGGCTAATAGTACCGCTTCAGCTACTAACGTGTTCTTTCTACTTTAGTGATAACTAAATGTTATGAAGAAATGGTATAATCTTTTTTTTTAGTGGTAACTCTCAAAGTAAAGAATAGCTGAGTACTTTGATGTGATTGAGGCCATGTTTTACATAATACGATCTTCGTGGTTTGTAGTGTCTCGACAATATTGGATGCTTTGTTTTTATGTGAACTTGTAATGGGTTTTGGACTCTAGATAGTCCAACCTGCAGATATGTCGTGGGTTGGGGTGGGTTTATGTACAGAGGTACTGTACTGATCAGTGATCTGAGCGCACTCATTAACCGGATGGGTTTTCTCACGCATTTCACGCTAATCAACGTGATGGATTTTATTATGAGGGTGCAAGTTTCTGAGACGCATGCACGAATGGTTGCAAGACTTCGCCAAGATCATGCAGAAGGAATGTTCCTATAGCTTGTCATAAACGGTTGTACATTGGGGATTAGCGACGCACAAAATGGACAGCGAGGATAGTATGCTTTTCGAGGTGTAGAAGGCAATCGCCTACCACTTCTACAACATTTCAATCAATGCGATAGTTAACCTAGCCATGTCGTGAACGAACCGGCACACGTGGTTTAATAATCATAAGAAATACAAAAGCTTCGTGAGATTTGTCGACGAGTGCTATGCTTGTACAGTTCCAGCCACTTCATGTCAGACTTATATGACTTAGCCTATGTAGGCTATAGTGGGGTAGCACATATGGGGTACAACACATTTCTAGGGTTTGTACTTGTACCCAACCTTTGCCTTAGTCAATCATTCCTCATTGTTTCACATGGTATCAGAGCAGGTTCCCTAGTGGGAACGTTTCCTAGGGCCCACCGAAAATCGATTTTTTTTTTCCTGCCCGGAGCGCGCTTCGCCCCTGCCCGAGTCGCGCCCCGTGTGCCTGCCCTCCCGTCGCGTCCCCTGCCCTTAGCGGCCCGTCGCGCCCTCTTACGGCCCCTCGCGGCCCCTTAGCCGCTCCCTCGCGGCCCCTCTCACGGCCCCTCGCGGCCCCTTCGCGGCTCCCTCGCGGCCCCTCCCACGGCCCCTCGCGGCCCCTTCGCGGCTCCCTTGCGGCCCCTCGCGGCCCCTCGCGGCCCCTCGCGACCCCTCTCACGGCCCCTCGCGGCCCCTTCGCGGCCCCTCGCGGCCCCTCGCGGCCCCTCGCGGCCACTCGCGGCCCCTCTCACGGCCCCTCGCGGCCCCGCGGCCCCTTCTCAGCCGCTGCCGCCCCTCTCACGGCTCCCTCGCGGCCCTTCGCGGCCCCTCGTGGCCCCTCGCGGCCCCTCTCGCGGCCCCTCACGGCCCCTTCGCGGCCCCTCTCACGGCCCCTCGCGGCCCCTTCTCAGCCGCCGCCGCCCCTGCCCCGGCCGCAGCATCCGCTGCCGCCGCCGACAGCAGCTGCCGCAGCCGTCGCCGACGGCAGCAGCCGCCGCCGCCGCTGCCGTGTCCACCGCCGCCGCCCTTGCCCCGGCCGCAGCAGCCGCCGCCACCACTGACAGCAGCAGCCGCCGCCGCCGACAGCAGCAGCCGCCGCCGCCGCCGACACCAGCAGCCGCCGCCGCCGCTGCCGTGTCAGCCGCCGCCGCCCCTGCCCGCCGCGGCACCCTGGCCCCTGGAGCAGCCGCTGCTGCTGCAGCTGCCCCTGGCCCCTGCAGCAGCCGCCCCTGCAGCAGCCGCCCCTGGCCTCTCGAGCAGCAGTCCCTGCAGCAGCCGCGGAGCCCTCGCCCTGCGGTGGTAGCGGCCTCACCATTGCCGCTGTCGTACTCCTGCCCTTCTTGCCACTGGTGAGCTCTGCTGTTACTGCTGTTACTGCTGCTCTTGCTACTACTGCTCTTTCTACTGCTACTGCTGCTCCTGGCGTGGCCAGATGCAGCTCCAGCGCCGTCCGCGTGAGTCCCTCGCCCCCCATCAGCTTCGTGAGTGGTACGCTAGTTGGGGTTGTAGGGGTGGCCGCAATGCTACTGCTGCCACTGCGGCTACCACTGCTTCTGCTGCCCCAGGCGGTGGCCAGATGCAGCTCCAGCGACGTCCGCGTGAGTCCCTCACGCCCCAGCAGCTTCGTGAGTGGTACGCTACTTGGGGTTGTCGGGGTGGCCGTAGTGAGAGTCGTTCTGGCGTGAGTAGTTCGGGAGCTGCTTGTAGTGGCCAGGTGCAGCTGCAGCGTAGTCCGCGCGCGGTCCTGTCGCCCCAGCAGCTTCGTGAGTGGTACGCTCAGCGTGGAGGGTCACCGAGTACTGCTCGCTGTCCGTACGTCATTCGCACTGGTGCTCGGACTAGTCAGCCTTGCGGGACGTTTGGTCACGCAGAGTCCCGCTGCTTCGCCCGTCTGAGCGACGCCTGGCGTGCGGAGTTTGGTGACGCCGCTGAGCTCCCCGACTGGGTGGAGCTGCTTAGGCAGAGGGTAGATATCTATGCTCTTGACTATGATGCTATCCTCACTTCCATGTATGCATTGCCTACTAGTGATGTGGGTGACTGTTACCTGTGTGTTCCGCCTGACCCGGGCATTGAGGCTGCTGCTCTAGGTGCTGGTGAGGCTGCTGCTCTAGGTGCTAGTGCGTCTACTCCTCCAGGTGCTGGTGAGTCTGCTCTCTCAGGTACCACGTCGGCTCAGGTTTTACACACCTTCACCCTTGACTCGGGTGCTTCCCGCTCCTTCTTTCCAGACCGCACCACACTCACGCCGCTCAGTCGGCCGGTTGCAGTCTCCCTGGCAGACCCCTCTGGGGGTCCTGTCCTTGCCCACTTCTCCACTGTCTTACCGTGTCCGGCGGCCCCTTCTGGCTCCCTGTCAGGTCTTTACCTCCCCTCGTTCTCTACGAACTTGGCGAGTGGTGCTGACCTACAGGATGGAGGGGTTGACCAGTTCACTCCTGCGCGTCAGCGAGTGACCCACTGTACGTGTGCTCGGACGGGCCGACACTTGGCCACGTTTACCCGTCAGCCGGGGTCGAGCCTGTACACACTGACTACTGAGTCTCCTCAGGTAGCTGCGTCGAGTCAGGTGTTTGCTGCAGCGTCCAGGTCTGGTCCTGAGTCTGCCCCCTGCTCGTGTCGTCTCCTGTCTCACCAGACTCTCCTCTGGCACCACCGCCTTGGTCACCCCTCCCTGCCTCGTCTCCGAGGCATGGCCTCTCGTTTCCTTGTCTCGGGTCTCCCCCGGTCCCTCCCTTCTCTTCCTCTGGGGCCTGCCCCCACCTGCATTCCCTGCGTCGAGGGGCGGCAGCGCGCCGCTCCTCACTCCTCCGAGTTTCCTCCGACAGAGGCTCCGCTGCAGACGCTTCACATGGACGTGTGGGGCCCAGCCCGCGTCCGTGGACAGGGTCACGAGCGTTACTTCCTGCTCGTGGTTGACGACTACTCGCGTTACACCACAGTCTTCCCCTTGCGCAGCAAGGGTGAGGTCACTGAGGTGTTGATCGACTGGATCCGCGCAGCTCGTCTCCAGCTCAGAGAGAGTTTCGGCTCGGATTTCCTGTCCTGCGTCTGCACTCCGACAGAGGAGGTGAGTTTTCCTTTGACCTTCTGCGAGCCTTCTGTCGTGCACAGGGCATCCGCCAGACGTTCACGCTTCCGGCCTCAGCAAAATGGGATTGCTGAGCGCCGCATTGGCATGGTCATGGACGTCGCTCGTACGTCCATGATCCACGCGGCTGCTCCTCATTTTCTGTGGCCGTTCGCGGTTCAGTACGCGGCGCATCAGATCAACCTTCAGCCCCGGGTCTCCTTGCCGGAGACCTCCCCTACTCTGCGGTGGACGGGGAAGGTTGGCGATGCGTCTGCGTTTCGTGTCTGGGGATCTCGGGCTTTTGTCCGCGACTTGTCTGCGGACAAGCTGTCCCCCCGTACTGTTCCCTGCGTCTTCCTTGGCTTCCCCCCTGACGCGCCTGGTTGGCATTTTTACCACCCCACCTCGCGTCGTGTTCTGTCTTCCCAGGACGTCACGTTTGACGAGTCGGTCCCCTTCTACCGTCTCTTCCCCTACCGCACTGCCCCGCTCCCCCCTCCGCCGCTCTTCCTCACGCCAGGTGCTGCCTTGGTAGACCCCTTGCCTCCCCAGGTTCCTGCTCCCTCAGGTGTTTCCCAGGTAGACCCGGTCGAGCCTGTCGAGGTAGC